AATTGTGGATGTTTAAAATGTAGTTTCCGGTTAGATCCAAATTAATTCTCGAGTTTAATTTTCTGGTTGAAATTGAATTCAATATGGATTTGATTATAGTCTCACATAACTTGGCCTGAATTTGAAGTGAAAATCTCGAAAAACAGGGACCTCAGTTCAAATATTAGTTGAATTTAAAGTTTAAACCAAATTGGGATTTCTTTGTAAATGACAATTGAAGATTCTACAAGCACATGGTACCTAACACATATTTCCAAATGCCTTGCATATCATTCATTCATTTCTAGTGGACCCCAATACATTACTGTTGAAAATTAAACACTGTTTGGTGGTGAAATGGTCAAATCAAGCAATGTACACACCCTTCAAAGGTGGGTCACAATACAAATATCATGTATATTGGATGGTTTAGCTATTCAATCAATCCTTTTCTTTGCATTTAATGGCCAATCAAAATATCTGGGAGGGTCATAAAGAAATCTGATTAGCCATGCCATTGAGATTTCTCTAAGTCTGTACAATGTCCATTGCTGTTAGAAATGTCAACTATTCACAATATTAATGGCTTAATTTATGTTTAAAACCACTAATGTTTTTGTTTAAACAAGTGTTATTTGCATTAAACTACATTTCAGGCAATACAAAAGAGAAGAAATTGTCAGTTGTTGATTACAGCTCCGTAACAACCTAATCCACAAACAATTATTTAACAAATTGTCTCATAAGTATGACAACTAAGTTTGTAGCGTGTTGTAATATATGTATTCTAGTAAATAAGTCTATATGTACCATATACAAAATTGTTAGCCCTCGATATGACTTTGAAGGGGCTTGGTAAATCATTAAGTTTTATATTCTAGCACAATAAAGCCAGCAGCACCAAAAGAAGGATAATACTTTGCATCCCAAATGAGTAGGGACCCTTGGATGAGTGGGTCTAACTGAAAAAAGTTAACGGGACTCATTGATCCAAGGGTATATATTGATTTGGGATACAATTTGGGGTCCCTAGCATT